TTTGAACTCGATCAATCCAAGCATGTCTCAGATACGGATCCAGAACTGAATTTTTTAAAACAAAATGGCCGCCAGTCGGCCATTTCAAACCCGATCCAAAAAAAAAGATGACGTGCATCAAGGTCCTATTATGTTTAATGTATGTACCAAATTTGAACGAAATCCGTCCATGCATAACTGAGATCCGGGTCCGGAATGGTGAAAATGTGTGATTTTGATGCATTTTCGGCCTTAAAATGGCCGCTATTCGGCTATCGTTAATCGGATCATGAAAAAAATGCATGTGCATATGTCCCATATAATGTGTGATGTATGAGTGAAGTTTGAACTTAATCGGTCCATGCATGTTCGAGATACAGGTGATCACGGACGCACGGACGCACGGACGCACACAGGGCAAAACATAAGTCCCCGTTTTCGGACTACGTCCGAACGGGGACTAACAAGTTTGTAAATCTTTAGTGTTGATGCAAAATTTCATGTTGGACCACAATTTGAGAAAGAAAAAAAAAATTATAAAATTGACACGATTGGGACAGTCTAGTCCAGGAAATTTCATGTCGAACCACAATTTATGAAATAGAAATACTGTGGAATACTTTATTTTTGCTGAAAAGGCTTTTCGGGCGTTTTGTATGGAATTTATTTTCACTGATTTTCGATTAGTTGAATGTAAAATATAGGAAAACAAGTCATTGTCAATGACACGTCCCCGTTCCGTTCATATTTGAGTGACATATACATTCAAAGCAGATCATGACCGAAATGCACCTGCATATGTACAACACATTGTGCTAAATCTGAACAAAATCCATCCATGCATGACTGAGATCCGGTTCTGGAATTGTGAAAATACGTGATTTTGATGCATTTTCGGCCTTAAAATGGCCATCATTCCACTATTGTTAAGCAGATCATGAAACAAATGCACATCTCTATTTGTGACATGATGTACCATGTGTGTGTGAAGTTTGAACTTGATCAATCCAGACATGTCTTGGATACGGATCCAGAACTGAATTCTTTAACAAAATGGCCGCCAGTCGGCCATTTCGAACTTGATCCGAAAAAAAAAATGACGTGCATCAAGGTCCTATTATGTTTAATGTATGTACCAAATTTGAACAAAATCCATCCATGCATAACTGAGATACGGGTCCGT